ACACCTCACACCAGATGTAAGAAACGGTACAAAGCAATCGGGGTTGGAGCATCCATCGCTAGCTCAAACTTCATATGTTCTTTCAGATAATTCCCAGATCCTTTTGGATACAATGTATATGCAGTGTGACAGATATTGACATATACTGAGGAAAAGAAACTCAAGAAGATGCCATTTTATAAAGACTTTTGTGAGTACACTTCTCACAATCATGTAATATAGTCAAAAACCCATCATTTTCATCTTCAAAAGCGATCTTTATATTCTACAACGAAATCACTTGATCGCCAAATTTATATGGGTTGTTTCTTATGCTAGAATCAGTGATGATGAAAAGGCAGATCAGTTGGCTAGAGAAGCTGTAACAAATCCATTTGCTGCTCTCGAATTGCGAATTTTGCACGTTCCTCTAGATTTTTTTCAAAATGCGTACACCCTACGCAATTCAACACCTATTAACTGAATACATGGTATTCTACCATGATAAAAGTGACATTAAAGTGTGCGAGAGCAAAAGAAAATTCTAGTTCTAGTTAACTACCCTAGTTGAAAGAATCTAACATATACTAACATCATGAAATTACTTTTTTTTTTCACATAGTGGACTATTCTGAATTTTCTCCAGAATTCAGAAAGGAAGGGTTTTTGATTTTAACAGTCTACGTATGTAGTATGTTTGTATGTTTCAATTTACGTATGCTCCACCATAGCACCTGGAGTACTGGATCGATTTTGATGATATGGCCTCAGTTGAGTTACACAAACTACATTTTTCATGAACACGACGGATGTAACATACAAACACGTGGGGGTCTGAAGTGCTTGTATATTCACTATAGCTAAAAACTGAAAGCCAAAATCTAAATACAACGCATATATGATTCAATACCAGATAATGCTGTTTCAATCCGCCATGGGTCTTTCGAATGGTGGTGATCTGAACCACAAATGGATTGTCGGACTCCACTGTTCTTGAAGGACAAGCCTAAGTAAAGGCGAAGCCATCTTTCCTTACGAGGACGGCCATATTACCATTGAAAATACACCAGATACACATAAAAACTGCCAGAATTTGTTGTTTCGAGATCACATGATATCGTACTGTCAGTATTTCGACATTGTTACCTTGGGGCTCAAATCAAACTTTAGATCTTCTATATTTATTTTCAGTTTGTTGACCCTCTACGTGATCTAGATTTTCCTTTCATTGAGCCTGAAAATATTTCCTAAACGCAATGAAGTGTTTTCATTGCAGAGCTAAGCGTCGACGTCGACCACCGAACGAGATTCGTCCTCTGTCTTTCCCTGCAGCTTTCACTTGAAACTAAACCCCAAAAACAACGCATTCGTGATACATCTCCCCCTACGAAGATCCTATCTGTGAGAGGGACAGTTGAGCCCAGCATTGCATTTGTAGTTTAGTCTAGTACCACTGATGAGACCTATGGCGGGTCGAAACAGCGCTATCTGGTGTTGGATCTCGAATGCGTTGTATTTTGGGGCCTAAATTCAACTAGACTCCTTGGGAAGGCAAAACTTATTTACGAAGGTGTTCGACCAAGTCAAGATAGATAGTAACCAATTTTTCAGCAAATCTAGTCTTATCATCCAACAATAAATATTTAACTATGTGGTATTTATGAATTTAGAGGAAGGCATCTGAAGAAATTGGAAGTTATGCTGGGTCTTTTCTAAATGCCAATGCAAGTTATAATGGAATACTCACTCATACACCTGTATTTTGTTTTAAAAATCTGTTTATTGCTAACACTCGTCTAAAATGTATAGAACAATGTTATCACTGTTCATATTATATTACACGAAAAAAATGCATGTCGGCTAATTTATTTTTTCTTCCCAATTGGCAATGTATTTTTTTTTCATACTTCTGGTTTATTTTCATCAAAATTGACTTTTTTTCTTTTATTTCAGTTGACCCGTTGTTGCCGGGCGAATGAGGACGTGCAATAATTTTTCGAAAACGAAGCATTTCCTTAATTGGCATTCTTTTGGTTCGGTGGCCCAAAAAGACGAATACAACCTCTGCATATCGTTTTATCCATATTTTTCGAAATGGACGAGAAGGACCCTTGAAGCGGTGTTCTGAGTTTTATTGACAATTTTCGACAAAGTGTTCGTTCGAAGGAAATACAAAACTGTGAATGTATAGTGAAGAATATTCCGATCGCGTTTTTATTTAGTATGTTGTTGTTATTTTTGTAAATAATAAAGTATTGTTAATTATGCATTTTCTTTTTTTTTAACTGGATCCATTCATTAACGTTCTTTGAATTTCTTGAAGTCCGAAAATAATTTTTTTTTTTTTATTTCACTTTCAGTTTGGATTTTCCTGTCATTCCTTGAAGTGGTGTGAAATATCAATCTGTTCTGAATATTGACAGTGTTAAATATTTCAGAATAATTCAGACAAATGATAGTACTTTCAAATTTGTATGATGTTTTGTCATGAATGTTGTCAATATCAGAATTTGAAGTGAAAATATTCATGAAAAGGATCATTAAGAAACAGCAAATACTGTCAAATCCTTGACAGTTCTCAGTTACATCGTATTTATGGAAAATACCGAGAGGGGTCGCCTTTTTCAGATCGCAACTTCAATCATACCAAAAGAACATAAAATAAAACATAGAGAGTTTTTTCACTATTTTGTCAGAGTGATAATTCATAATAACTACATAAAAGTTTCAAAAAATATTGGCAGGTGGGTTCACTTTAAATATACAACTATATATTCAGTCTCAGGGTATAAAGGGAATGATACAGACAGTTCATAACTTTCCAAAAGTAAAGGTAAATTGCAGCCCTTGGCAAATATTCAATACTCTTAGAGACTTCCACCAGATGGCATCATTTTCAAGTCACTATTATATACTCAGATTAAAAGTACTTATAAATGAATGTCTTTGACAAAAAAAAAATCAAGTAGGGGGTAGGGTTGCTGCCAATTTCAATCAATAGAAAACTATATGAAATGACACTATATAGCTATTATATCAATTATAGGGAATTTTTGAAATCTATAATTCAATTTCAAAGTTTCAATATTGTAAGAATTGGATGTAGTTTCAGAGAGTGTCCCGCCCACCTTCCCCCCAAAACATACTTCACCTTATAATCTCAAACTGAGATTGAGCTGGGGAATCGTAAGTGACGCCATCTACAGAAATAATACAAAAGCTTGATATTGCAAGAAATTTCAACTTCACAAAAATAAATCAAGATAGGGTTTCTGCTAATAGAAAACTTTTGTGTGACATACTATATAATAATATAATAAGGGATGATTATCTTCAATTTCAAAGTAGTTTCAATATTGTAAAGTTTGAATATAGTTTGTGAGTGTCCCACCCACCTCACTCCCATCTAAACACTTTTCTCCTTATAATCCCAAAGTGAGATAGAGCTGGGGAATCGTAAGTGACGCCATCTACAGAATTACTACAAAAATAATTTTCGTTTTGATGCTCAAATAAAATCTCAGTTGCACACAAAATTTTCATTCATGTACATATCTAGAAAATTTCAACTGATATGTTTTTCAAACCATTACTAACTATATGCTTAGTTTTAGACAATAGATAACTTCTAGCGAAGTGAGACATAATTATCATATCTGAAATAAATGGATTTTTTTTTCCACTCAAGATTTTAATATTTTTGGGTTGGACAGGATTTCTGTTTATAATTTCGGAGTGTGCTAAGGATTAGGATTTATAGGTGGCTCCATCTATCAATTCTCTATATAAAGTAATTTTGCTTTCGATAAATTCCAACTCTTCACGTACCAATGAAATACTATTTATTTGAATTTCTACATGATTCCAACAGGTGGTATCATTTTCAAACAAATACGAGTACTATTATATTGCATGTTTGCGTGTGAAAATTCAAAACACATTTCTTCAAGTAGGAAGTACAGATACTATCAATTCTTAATCGATAGAATATAAATTTTGCATGAGGAATGTTATAGATAGCTATTGAATCAAAATGGAGAAATTTCTTCTCATAATTCCCAGCTATTTAGCGAGGAGATCCTACTACCCCACAGATGACAGATGTTTCACATCCGAGACACTTACTTTATAATCTGACGATGACATGAAATTTGAGATTTGTATGTGATGCCATCTGCCGGATTTCTATATGAAATTTTCGTCGTTTTCATGCCAACCCAACCAACGGAATCTCAGGAATGTTGTGGTAGAATTTGATTGGAAATTATTCCTAATTCAGACAATTTGTTTTCCAATTTTCATAAATCGGAATAGTTTCACGGCCGGAGATTACAGTGTCGAAGTTATTGAGTTTTTCGGCCGTGCTCTACAATTTTTCATGCCTGATGTTTCGTTAAACATTAAACATTATCGAAGGCGATGAGGTAACGGCCGAAATGCTCAAGTAGTTTCCAAAGCAGAAATTACAATGCTAGAAAAACTCGGAAAATAGCTCTGACACGACCATATTTTCATAAAAAATGTCAAATAATCTCCTTGTTAACTCAAATTCTTCAGTCAACGCAGTTGTTGCCTGACCCACCCACTAGACTCAATATAATCAATATCAATCAAACTGAGAATTTGAATACAATCTGAAAGTGCTGCCATCCATTGGATTTCTAAAAATGTCTTAGAATTCTATATAGAAAAAAAATGTTTTTGTCAAGCTCTGAAAGCTCATGGTCTCTATTTTATATTCATAATGTATAATTTTGTCAAAATCGAACAAGGAAATAAAACCAAATTACTCGAAAATAATTTATTCCTATGGTACATAACGATAAATAACTTTATTTCTACACTTATTATCGATCTAACTGATAATATAAATAATATCAATTGATCAAAATGAAAAGCAGCTTTCAGTTGTTATTTCTATAAGTCCCTCATAACTCTGACCTCGATGATGCATTGAAAACGAGATGCATGATCTACATAATGAAGATACATAATTTATATCGTAGATGATTTCTTTTTTCTTTTCTTTGTTCAATGATGATGAAGTAGAAAGCCAAAAAACGTTTTCCACAAATGAATGATGGCTGCTATTGCCCATACAGCGTCAACTGAAAAAAATGAAAAATATTCTTAGTTAATGAAAAGTCAAAACAAAAAACTATTCTTATATCTACGTTTGAGAAAATCTGTATCATTATTATTGTGAGAGGGTATACACGGATATAGGAGCTAGACAGGAACCCAAACTATCGTCTACCAAAAGAGTATTGGTAAATTCTTCACTAACTTTTTCAAAATATTCATATAAACTACTACAATTGATCAAATGAAGAGTAAACATAAATCAAGATTGAGTTTCAACCCTAGGTCAAAATTAAACAACTGTGAATGTCATTTGTTGAACGTCTGTATTGCGTCTTCCTCGGAAAGATGGGTGGCATAGGTATAAATGAATATATAAGACGTTGCTTTCTGTTGGTTGCAATGACGTTGACCTGGTGGCCTCTTAAACAATACAGATTCACTAAGTGTGTGGGTGTTACACTGGATAATTAATTTTTGACTGGCACAAGTAAATTCATGTGCCCACAGCCATAGCTATTTTATTGAATAACCTGTTTCAATCCATCGTGATAACATGAAGTTTCCTAAAAGCTAGCATATTTCACGATTTAATACATGTTTTCATCTAGAATTCCTGTATAAGTGCAAGCAACAGAAACAAGCAAAAACATATTTTCCACTAGTGGAAGCAATAGAAAAAAACGTGTGCGTCTCGGGACGCATGACAGGAGTGATAAGTCAAACTAATCTGAGTTGAACTATTCAATAATGGAATTGTTTTACTTGAGAAACGCTCATGTTATTATTTGAATTTTATGTACATTATTATAATAATGTGAGTATCAGTAAATTCTTCTATTAATTATTTTGTGTCTGTACATATATTATAGCTACCATAAGCAATTGATACTGTTGTAGGATTAAATAATGATACTAATGTACATACAGAAAATAAGTATCATCATAGTTAAGCCACGTTTCACATAATGAAAGAATATTGTGTTCGCTGGTTAGATTTTTGTAATACTGTCAACAGTATAATACAGCCCACGGTAAACCCTGAACGTCTCTGTCTGACGCTTCGACGAGAGAGGAGAAGCCTACCTTCCGCTGACGTATGCATGAGAAAAAAGGAAGCCTGATAATTAATCTGGCGCCGTTATGTTGTGTAACGAAGCGTTGTACCCTCCCATAAAAAGTTATCACTCCAAAAATAAAATTGTTTTTCAAATAATCTTCCCCAGCACTACTTGTGTGAAACTAATGACCTCAAAAGTGTTCTGTTTGAAAAATAAATCTGTTCAAAATCTTTTTTCCCGTTAATCAGTTGTTGCCCCCATACGAACGACAACTCTCAGAAGTTGAGAAACTTGTGCGTGCTAAGGACTAACGAGGTCTAACCTTTCAACGTGTGATTCCTACCACGGCTGTAAAAAAATCCATAATCGGCATTTGATTCGTAAATTAGTTTTTTTTGCCAACTATGTTTGTTCTATGTCCACTCTTCACGGTTTATTACTTAACATTGGAGTTTGCGTCGAAAGTATACTCCTGTGTTATTTGGTCCGTGACTTGTTTAATGTTTGCTTACTCACATATTCCGAAATTTTAATTTCGCTACATATCTCGTTGCTCGGTAAATTTTTCACTCATTCTTGCCTTTTCAGATATAACAAAGGTAATGAGGTGAATTTGCGTCTCCAATGCTGATGTTATTCCCAAAAACCAAGTCCTTGCACCCTGACATTTGGTAATGAAACCAAAGGGGCATATGTAATTTGGAGTTAAATCAACATCATGGTTTCAACTCTCTCGTGTTTTTTGTATGTGATGTCGGTCGGTATCAAAGCTCTTTGCCTCTCTTTTCATAGTGTCTAAATGATAATTCTCAGTCAGTTTGATTTCTAGTAACATTCTCAGATATTTAACGTCAACCACCAGATTCATCTCCTCACTATGGAGTTATAGAGGTCCTAACCTCTCTATCTACGCCATTCGGATATGGTTATTTACTTACCCTCCCATCTTTTTCATGGCCATCATTCCAATGATCTTGTTGCCTGTACTAGTCTGTACAGATCCTTTGTTCTGTTATAGCTGTCATATAGAGTAATAAAGGGCTTTTGCTGCGGTTATTGAGGTGGGAATCTGGCACATCTGGCAAATAACCTCAATATCGACCAATAATCAATATGTCATTATGACTATAGGTTTGATTCTAGAGCTGCGGCCTGAATAGCTTCACTGATCCTCACTGACGAACTGACTGAGGAAAATATATCACAGTCAATCTTGAAGTCAATTATCATGCAAAATTTTATTTTTGACTCTGATGGTGAAGAAAATACTCTCCTGTCCGCCGCGACCGGATCATATTTTCAATGTTTGGCAGAGTGACACTGGACTGGAAGATCACTTATTAAATGAAGTAATCGGCTTCACTGAGAAGCTGGATTTATTTGGTCGAATTGGAATGAGTGTGAGCCACAATGAAGCTTTGTTGTAGTGAAGGATCGAATAGACACACTCATTACATCTACCTTGAACAGTTCCCTTCCTTGATAGTTTGTCATATTTTTCTGGACATAATTTGTGCTACCAATCAAATATGACGGACTGTCTTTGTTCCATTACTGCATTGCCTGCAGCAAGGTATTGTTTGTACAGCCTTATTTCATTCAGGTGCCAAGTCAATGGATAGTTTTTCTGATTTCTTTTCGAACGGTTCCTTTGTGAAGGATTACTTGTGTGTGTTCTCGAGTGAATTTTCCCAGTATGATTAGGGTTTCTTGTTGGCCCATTTTTCGGTCTGATTCTGTATCAAGGATGTTGGTACTCCTACAGCTGGTTCAGAGCGCATATATGGAGTTGACGATCTGTGTGGTACACTCATCAACTTTTTAGTTGCCTGTGATACCTGATTCTCTTGACACCCAGTATAAAGTCATTATATTCCTGTTCGTCAGTTTGCTGTCTGTATAGTTACCAGATGTTTTTGTCGAGCTTGCTTTCGGGATGACTCTACTCTCCGCGGTTTAAGACTTTAAACTCGAAGTTTGTGTCGAACATGTAATTCGGTCGTCTGAGAGCATGTTTTATATTCAATTCCACATATATATTATACGATTCCATATGACTCGTTAAATTTTCAAGTCTCCAAGATGTAATGGAGGAAGTTTCAAGAATGTCTTCAATGCAGCTTCAATGATGTGATTTCAATTGCTCCCGTCATTGTCAAACAAGCAAGTTATTGCATCCTGTTTAGTTTTTTGAAAGCGGTCGTTTGTTTAATTTTTGGCAATAAGTGCATTTGGTATCATTGTTTCAAGGACCATAGTTCAAAGCCAATACTATACAAGAACAAATAACCCAATTTATTGACAACACACTAGTTTCGTCATTCCATTTGGATTCCACGACATCAGCTGCGGATACACATCTTCACCGGCAGCAGGAGGTTGCATATCTTAATGAGAATCTAGAGGTGATTTCAAATTGTGACGAAAGTAACCAAGTTCATAATAATGTCAGGACAGACAATTTCGCTTTCTGCTTTCGCTTTCTGGGGCTTAAAATGGACACCAATATGTCTTGGCACAATCATGTCGCTGAAATTGCAAAGGCTGCTTGAAACACTGTCCCAAAACAGAAAACTGTAAACACCTCAGCAACTTTTGATGCTTTATAAAGCTCAGATCAGGCCTTCTATGGAGTATTGTTCTCATGTATGGAGCTCCGCCCTAAGCATATTCTGAAGATGCTGGATTCCATTCAGAAAAGAGCCATCCGCCTGACTGAGAACACGAACATCACTTGCAACCTTGATAGTCTGGAACATCGAAGAAAGGTTTGAGGTTTGTCTGTGTTCAATGAATTGACACATTTGATTTCAGAAAGAGCGGTACATATCAGAAATAAGCGACGGACTGTGGCTGCTCATCGTTTTGAAGTTCAACTCAGTACACCTCGAACTTTACTGTTTAAGAACTATTTCATTTGGAGAACTGCGTTTATGTGAAATAAACTTCCTGATAACGTATTTCCAAATAGATTTAATCTTCAGTGATTCCAATCCAATCTGAATCGCTATTTTCGCACAGGCACCGATCTCAGAGCGCTTTGAGGATTTTCGTCTAGTGTTTGTGTTTTGCCCTGAAAAAAATTCAATACCTCCGCCATTATTTTTCTTTTTTCTAGAGGATGGTTCCAGAGTAGCCTGATATATAGATATATAGAGAAAATATTACCTTCTATTATTATCGTAAATGATACTTAATGAATCAATCTCTTATTCAAGGATACTTTCCGAAAATTCTGAAAAAAACACTCGTTATACCTGTATATAAAAAAGGAAACCCCACAGAAAGGGACAACTATAGGCAAATATCTTTGCTTTGCTCGATATAAAAATTATTTGTAGCACTTAGGATTATGGATCATTTGGAATCAAATCAAATATCTATGATATTCTGAATTATATCAGATAAAAAAAATTATGTGATCTCACTATTTTTCCTATACGATAAACAAACTATATGATAAACAAAGAAATGGTTATAATGGTGCGACATCTGAGTCAAAGACGGTAAAACTCGGGGTGCCACAGGGCTCTGTTCTAGGACCTCTACTGTTTCTTCTCTATGTTAATGATCTTCCTCAACATATAAAGGGAGGCTACGTCACAATGTTTGCTGATGATACAATGATAACTATAGCAGGCAATAATTCTGAGCCACTCATCAGCAAATCTGAACATATTATTATTATTGATCAGTTCAGTACCTACTTGGTGCCAAAGAAATAAACTCATTCTAAATACTTCTAAATCGATCAGTGTTAACTTTCACTTCAGAAGAAATATTCCAACTGGTTGACACTCTAGCTATGATATTAAAACTTCTGAAGAAATAAAATTTTTAGGGACCTACCTAGACGCCAATTTAAATTGGGATAGGCAGGTGGACTATATATGTGCTAAGTTAAATAGAGCATATTGTGCCATAAAACAGCTGAAATCCTGTTTGGATGAAACTGGCTTACTCAGCATATATTATGCCATGGCCTACCTTCATATAAGTCTGAATATTATGGTTTGGGGCAGAGCAAGGGATTTTTCCAGAGTCTTCATAGCACAGAAACGCATCATAAGGCTAATCTTCAATATGGATTTCCGGTATAGCTGCCGGCCAGTCTTTATAGACAAAAAAATATGGACAGCCCCATTCATCTTCATTCTTAAATGTATTTCATTTGTTAGGCAAAACAATAAATTATATGATAAGAATGCTTCAGATCTCAGTCATAATACAAGAAACGGTGATCTTCTAAAAATCCCACAGCATCTCATGAAAAGCTATAAAAAATCCCCTCAGTATAATGCCATTACGTGCTTCAATAAGCTGCCAAGTGTAGTTAAAAAATCACAAGTGACAAAGTATTCCATGATTATGTTAAAACTATGCTTTTAGAAAGATGCTATTACAGTTACCAAGATTTTTTAATTGACAATCTCACAAACAATCAAATTCACAGTGGACGTAATTTTATTTAGATTAAATTATGTGAATGATGTAAAATGTTCACTTAATTTGTGGACATCTATGCTTACTTGTATATGTGTGTATATATGTATGTGTATATATGTGTATGTGTGTATATATGTGTATGTGTGTATATATAGAGGTGAATCTATGCTAAATCTTCTCTTTTCATCTTTACTAGCTACCTTTACTTACCATATATACTCGAGTGTATAAAAATGGTGAATAAATATTATTATTATCACTCCCAGCTTATGATAGGAATGCTTATTTAATTTACCCTCATCTGCATTTTTTCTTAGTTCAATGTTTATCTCATGTTGAAAGATAGGACTCCATTGATCCTCAGCTTGTACAAGTTTTGATCTGAGGGGTTTGTCATTAGCATGGGAACGACAGCTGGCAAAAAAAATCCATTTCAATTCCGAACAATCTAGAGTAAATCTCTCACAATGCCCAATGCCTTCAAAATCTCAATTGTCTATTGAAATTATTCCTGCAGAAGGATGCAGTAACGCGAAACAAAGAGAATACACCATGTGCGTGCTTGTTTTTATTCTGTCCAATTCAAGCTCGAACAAATTTTGAATTAATTTAGAATAAACGTAAATAGACCCATTTCCGTCGATTAACAATGTTCAGCTCGAGGCTAGTAATTCCACAAGTTTTCCAGAGTCTGAAAGCTCCCATAAAAGCGCCTGCTTTCCATTTGATATTCAAATGCGTTTAGAGTATTGTTTTATGTTATAAATTTAATGCCACAAAGTATTAATTGCTCATGAAACCCACCAAATTACATTAAGAGGCGTATTGATGGGCTTTCGCAGAGATTATAAACTTTGCTCGCTCATTAGTCGTCTCGCGAGCGAAGTTTCTCCAAGATTGTTTTTTTTTTTTCACCAAAATTGCAGATGCACCGAGATGAAAAATGAACTAAAAATGTATGTACGTAATTGTCACTCAAATTTGAATCATATTTTGTTGAATGTACTGTTCCTCAAACTATCGAAAAAAAGTGATACGGAAAGTTTTTCTGAATACAATTTTCAGAGTAGTTCATACAAAAATAATAAATAATTCATACAAAAATAATTCCCGCCTGGGGTGATTTTAATTTTTTCTTTTTTTGTAAAGTTTGTTTGAGTTTTTCTGCAGAATCCAAATTGGGCTGTTGTAAAATGGTCATATGTGATGCAAATTTGTATACGGTAACTTCATGAATTATTTATTTGGGAAAAGGTGGTTTATGCCTAAAAGTATTACACATCAATATTAAAATCATTGAAATCATTATTATGTATAAAATTCTACTTTTGTCGACAATAACGAACTATTTTGACTCTATTCTCTCAATAGTGATGTGTAAAAATATATGTATATTGCACTGAGTCTTATATTGTAACAGTTGTGCAATTTACAAAAAATCCAGATAATTTTTTGTAGTTGAAGTTTTGCATACCTATAGACAAAAAATTGTATTTAGAGAAACTCAGTCGAACTATTTTCTCATTATTAACGTAAATTATTGTCAGACACAAACTACTTTTTCGAAAACAGATATTTCATTAAGTTATCTTATACAGGTGATGCACTGTTTGGAAACCTTT